GTCCAGGCCCCTTGGAAAGTGTTTGAGGTCACCACGCTGCTCCGCTCCTGGCTGCACCAAGACACAGCCCCTGGGCACCACACGGGGACGAAGCGGTGGGATGCGAGCGGTTCGGCCGCCACCGCGATGCACTTGCCCACCTTGAGCGATGCCGGCCACAAGGATGCGACGGACAGAGTCCTGCTGCTCGTGTTCTCCAAGGACAAGTCACCGGGAGACCACAGCCTCATCAGGACAGCGGAGACCTCCAAGCACGTCATGCGCGAGAGCAGCTCCCAGGGCCCAGGGATGCGCCGGCACCGCCGCAACAAGAAGGAGAAGCAAAGGATCAAAGCGAGTGATGCTGGTGCTGCCGTCCCGGCCGAGGAGGGCAGGTCCCTGTGCAGGAGGGTGGACATGGTGGTGGACTTCGAGCAGACCGGCTGGGGCAGCTGGATCGTCTACCCCAAGAAGTACAACGCGTACCGGTGTGAAGGGCGCTGCCCATCGCCCGTGGACGAGACCTTCAAGCCCACCAACCACGCGTACATACAGGTAAGAGGGGTTGGATCCTGCTCCTCTCCCTGCACCTCAGCCCCATTGCCCGGGGCAGGGGGTGATGCTTTGCCTTTGCCGTGTCTCCCCACAGAGTTTGCTGCAGCTCTACAAGCCCAACCATGTGCCCTGCCCTGTGTGCTCCCCAGTCAAGATGAGTCCCCTCTCCATGCTCTACTATGAGAAGGGGGAAATCGTCGTCCGCCACCACGAGGACATGATCATCGAGGAGTGTGGCTGCAACTGAGGCGCGTCCCCTCTGCAAGGGGCACATCTCTGCCCAGGAAGCATCCCCAAGGACCAACACACGGACCGGGGTGTCTGTGGAGTGGGTCGAGGAAGCTCTGGCTGTGCCAGAGGAGGAAAGGAGCATGCTTATGGCCATGCTGCATGGATGGACCCAGGCTCCGCGTGGAAAGGGCCATCAGACATCTCCCTGCAGCGCCAGGGTGCTGGGTGCCTGATGCTGTGTTATCCATGTGCCACGGCTGGTGCTGCTCCGCAGGCGCAGGGATGGACCCATGGAGTGTTGCTCCCCATCACAGCAATGACCCTTCTGCCACAACAGGAATCACAGCAGTGGGACACTGCATAAACCATCATACACCCATCGTACACCATCATACACCATCCTACACCCACCATACACCACCATACACCATCATAAACCATCATACACCATCGTACACCATCATGCACCATCATAAACCATCATACACCCACCATACACCACCATACACCATCATAAACCATCATACACCATCATAAAACATCATACACCCCCCTGGGACCATACAGGGAGTGATGCTAAAGATGGACCTGGAGGTCCCGCATCCCTCTCCAGAGCATCACCCATTCACCGGGAGCCAGAGAGGGATTTGCACAGGCAAAGGAGGTGGGTCTGAGCCCCAACCCCAGCACCTCGGCTCACACACTGCTTTCCTCTGTCAATGTGTGCTCAACCCTGATCCACCACTCGCTGGAAGGGGCGGTACGGAAAGGGTTGGATAATTCATCAATAAATTATATCTATTGAAAAAGCCTGGTGGTAAATGATGTAAAACGGTGCAAGAGATGCTCAACAGGAAAGTTCGTGTGAGATAACAAAGATGTTCTCACCCTGATGGGGAGCTGCTTGAGAGCAAGTGGGGAAGCACCTGCAGGTGCTGAAGAGGGGGGATAAAGGGATTTTCCACCTTTATTTACCCCTTGGAGATAAGGGGAAGGGGCATGTTCTCTAGCAGCCATGCAGGCAGCTCTCCTTCGGGTGATGGGGCCGGGAGCTGGAGAAGAGAGCTCCAGCCCCACATGATGCTCATTGCCCCTTGTATGCCAGCCCTGGGGGGCAGTGAGGGTCGGTCCCCGGGTTTGGCCAAGCTCACCCCATTGCAGCCCTGGCTGTGGGTCTGGACTCCCCCAGGCTCCCCCAGCCATGGTGGGGACATGGCACATGCATGGGGACCCCCTGCCATGGGGTCCCAGTGCCATGGGGACCCACTGCCATGGGGTCCCAGTGCCATGGGTACACAGTGCCAAGGGGTCCCAGTGCCATAGGGAGCCAGTGCCCTGGCTGCAGCCAGCACAGCAGAGGGGACAGCGGGAGCATAAGGGCTGGGGCAGGACGGGGCCATCCCCATCCCTCCCCTCCCTGGCCCAGCAGCTCCACTCCACATCCCAGCCCCAGCCTGATTATCCCCAATCCACATCCCAGCCGGCGGATAAACAAAGCGTGTCTGGGCCCTCCAGCCCCAGCAGACCCTCCCCTGGGCCGCTTACATATTCCAACAGCGCTTCACACTGGGACCATCCCGTCATTAGAGGGTCATTTGCAGGAGCTGTCAAGCGATGTGTGGGGCTAACCCCTGGCAGGAGGCAGATGCACCCAGAAACCTGGAAATGTGGGCTCCGGAGGGGATAAAATCAAGTTATTTTGCCTTTTCCTCTATAGGTTTGCTGCTTCCCCTTGAAAACTGGAGGTTTCACCGCCAGCCCTTTGCCCTCCCCAGTGCTCCATCTCTATCTTTGCAATCTCTGCCCCTCCATCAAGCCTGTTTGAAACCCAGCAGCAGGTTCAGATGTTGTTGCAGGGCAGAGAGAGGCCGTTCCCAGTGGAAAAATAAAGGCAGAGATTCCAGGGCTGTAAGGAAAACATCAAAGCGTGGATGGTGGTGACAATAAAGCCATGCACGCTGTGCTTAGGCAGGGTATCTGCTGGTGAGCCCCACTTTGCAAGGCTTGGGCTGGGAGCACGGATCTAATCTCAGAGCAGAGAGATGCTGCCCAGCCCTTCTCCTGCCCCAATACACATTGAGAGCGCGGCTGGGAAAACAGGGGCTCAGCTCCAGCCTGGAGCTGGCTCCCAGCGCCTAAAGGGGCTCCAGGAAACCTGGAAAGGGGCTTTGGACAAGGGCCTGTAGGGACGAGACAAGGGGAATGGCTTTAACCTGCCAGAGGGGAGATTGAGATGAGCTCTGAGGCAGAAGCTCTTCCCTGTGAGGGTGCTGAGGCGCTGGCACAGGGTGCCCAGAGAAGCTGTGGCTGCCCCATCCCTGGCAGTGTTCAAGGCCAGGTTGGACACAGGGGCTTGGAGCAACCTGCTCTAGTGGAAGGTGTCCCTGCCCGTGGCAGGGGGTTGGGACTGGATGAGCTTTAAGGTCGCTTCCCATCCCATCCCTTCCATGACTCTGTTTCAGGCACTCCAAGCTTGGCTAAACCACAGCGGGAGCAGCTCAGGAACAAACCCCTGTTTGTTCCTCTCCCATCACTCTCACTTGGAGCTGCTTTTGCCCTGGGCTCAGCCCCAGGAGGGGATGCAGCCGTGTGTGGCTGCTGTGCACAGCTGGGATGCTCCAGGGAGGTCCGAGGGACAAGTGTTGGCTTTGTCATTGCATTTCCCATCCCTGCCCCTTTTTGTCTCGTGCAAGGCACCCGCATCCTGCTCTGCACCTCACCCTGTACACCACCTGCACACATGTCACCATGGCCCTTTGATAAGCCCTTAGGTCTGTTTGTTCACGCTCTTTCCTTGTGTGTCCAGAGCAAACTGTGCCAATGTTCCACCCTGACCGGGTGCTGCTGCTCCTCCCGAGGTGCAGGATGCAGTGTGGATACAGCCAAGGGTCCATCCTTCCCATGCCAGCACATAGGGATGCTGAAGCCAAGCCAGCCTTTTCCCCAGCACCTCTGGGAGGACCACGAGATGCTCCCCTACCCAAGGGCTTGCAGCAGCAAAAGCCCATTGAGAAACTGGTGCAAAACCTAGAAACAGACTCATAGAATGATGAGTTTGGGTCCAAACCCACCTAGGATGGAGGGTAACGAAGCAGAGCAGGGGATGCTGAGACCACACGACCCCACACCATGAGAACTTCAAGGCACCGGCTTGGGGACAAATTGCACCCAAGTGCCACGTCACCGTGTCACACGTTCACAGTCTCTCTGCCCCCATCACTGCAGCCCCAGGGCCCTGCTTTGGGAAGCCAGCGGGAGCCCTTGGCCCTGCTGGGCTCCCCCCCACCCCTCCCCGGCCGGTGCTTCGCAGGGTGCTCGTCCTCCCTCGGAATTATCGGCTCTGAATTGCTGTCGGAGGCACCTGGTGCTTTGATGCTCCCCCAAATCTACATAAGCCGCAGATACCGATGCAAAGGCACGGGCAAAATACTTCACACTTCCAGCACTTGTTATCCCTAGCGCGGGGTGGGAGGGAACGGGCTCTGAAAGCACTACTCGCAGTAGCTGACACTCCAAACTAGCCAAGCAGATGCTTTGGTACCTGATACAAGGCTCCCGATCTCGCCCTGGCCATTACGGGTCAGAATCTCACAGCAAAGAACAGCAGCGAGGCTGAAACCAGCTTGTTTCACCCCAGGATGAGCAGCCCTTCCCCAGGCTGGCACTGGGACCCCAGTGGGTACCAGCACCGTGTCTCCATCCAAACTTCACCACCGGGTACCACAGCAGGGTGCTGCCCAGTAAAGGGAGCGGGTACCATGTCTCAGGGCATCCCATCATAAGGACAAGCAGTGAGCTGCACCTTAACCCTTTTCAGTACCATAGAAGTAGATAAAGTGGGTGTCACAGTTGTGGAAGGGTATTTCAGGAGAGTGAGGAGGGTAAAATCCCATCCTTTCCCCAGTGAAACCCATTCACCCAGGATTACACCAGTACAACTCTCCCATTCTCAGCCAACCATCACATTTTGGTTAGGACAGAGCAGGAAAACAAGCCCCAGCACTGGAAACAGACTTAAATCACTGCAAACATTCCATGAGTCCGTCACACTTGTCTTCCCAAAACTTACTGGCTTCGGGCAAATTCCTATCAATACAGTTTAAACCCAAATCTGCTGCTTCCCAAGGAATGGAAGCTGGAGGTGGCAGTGATGGGCAGGACACGTGGCTCTGCACAACATCAGCCCCGCAGCGTTCTATAGTGTCATTTCTATCCCCAAACATGAATGCAGCAGTGATCACAGCTCCTCTCTCCTCATACCAAACCCCAGCTGCTGGGTTGGACTTGCAAGACTGATAACACAGCACCTGAGGGCAACAGACTTGAATCGGTTCCCATTAAGGTTTCAGAGAAACACTTCATCTTATCTGCAAGAAAGGCAAGTTTATCTGCAGCAATTGCTTTGTCTCGGCTTCTTCTGTTACTCATTAGTAAAGGCTTGTGTGTCATAATGTCACAATTGAGTTTAATTAGCAGATATTTAAATGCTATCTGACAAGAGGGAGCTGAACAGACACTCACTGTCCTTTAGTAAGCCTGAAGTTCAAGCCTTGGCTTAATATGCAGTTGTCCTCTTCAGATGCCCCCCCCACCAGCAGCACCACTCTAACATAGCCATGTAGTAGTGTTAGAGACTGCTCCAAACACAGTTATTAAACCACACAGAGACCAGAAAGACTCACTCTGGATGCCCAAATCAAACACTGCCACAGTAAAATCACTGTCTCTGGTGAGAATTCCCTTCTCTGAACCAAGCAGGTTTATTCTCAACCTCCCAGATAAACCCCATGTTCCCCCAAAGCCTTGATCCTGCTGTAAGAAGGAGAACCAAGTGCAAACTAGCATTGAAGTTCCAACATGGATCAAAACCCCAGCAGAAAAACCATAGTGAAGCACACACCCGTATTCTGGAAGAGCTCCAGCATTCCAGGAAGCAGGAATTGCAGCAGAGAAGCTGACTTCAGCTGCTTCTACCTGCACCCTGAGCCCTGCCCCTCATCAGGGACAGTGAGCAAA